CTATCAGATCGTGAAAACAAGAGAAAAATGGAAAGGAGGCTCGGGCTCAAGGGGGAAGAGAAGATTACCATTGTTGAGAAACGTTTGCAAGAACTCTAAGGTAAAAGTGAAGTTCTGATTATCTAAGAGTTTGTATGATGCCAAGTGAGTTGGACTTTGACCACAAGCTAAGACGCGGATAACAACACGACTTCTGGAGAATGCAAATAAGGATGAAACAATCATGATATGCATATAGATATGAATTGGGCAGATGATATATGATGAAATGCAGATGCAGATGTCGACGACATGACTCAAATCTTTTGGTGAGAAGACAAGACTGAAATACTGATTCCCCAACACAGAGATAACTGCCATTCTGCTCAGGAACTAAAGATGTTGTTGTTGAACATATCTCTGCCAAACTGGTAAACTGTATCAAATTAATGATCTTTGTAGGAAGGATGAAGAGTTGCTTGGGGATTCTTCAAGTAAATTGCCCTAGATTAGCTGTTTGTTGTTGATGAACTGATAGTTGCTTTAACTTGTCTGATTCTGTAGATGATTGCGTTACCGTGCGCTTGGAAAGCTTGCCCCAGTATGAGTCTTGAAATATCTTCTGGATAAACCAACTCCGAGAAGGACTTGCACTAAGCAATAAACCTTGAATTGATTCTCAACAGGATGTGAAAAAAGCTTACCCCTGATAGGATCACTGACCAAGTTTCTCAACTGTTTGAAAATTCCTTAGAGGAAATCCAGTTTGCAAACAAAAGTTTTCATACAAACATGGTAATGTAAAGTTCATGCAACCTTTGAAATTAAAATCATTTTTGAAAGATGCAAAATAAATGAGTCATTGGTCAGAACACGGTGGTTCAAGATATTTAAAAGTGAAAGGTAAAGCAAAAAGGTATGATGCCAAAACAAATGATCCGCAAAGATCTTTTGGAGCCAGTTTATGTAACCTTGTTGTAGTATACTTTCAAAATAACCTTGCTTCAATTAGGTCTTTTAAGAGTTGTAACATAACCGAGTTCACGGTTTAAGAAACAAAGGATAAAGGCTCAAAGTTTATTTGTGCCCACCTAATCTATGTGATGATCTTCAGTCCTACGCTCAGTTAACTCAAACTATGCACTCAGATTCCCAAGAGGTGGGAATTGTACTAATGATAGTGATGATAATGGTTCAAAAGCCAAGGGAACTTTGAAAAGGCAGCCACTACTTCCCTATAACATTTGGTTGTGTTTTTTTGTCATTGAGTACTTTCATGATGAGGATTTAAAGATCTCCTATTTTATTATCCCTAAATTTTTCCAGAACTGTTTATTTTTAAGCTTATAGTCAGCAGGATTCCCCAGTTTTTCCTAAGTCTCTTTCATAGGTTTTGACTTAGCGAGCTTTTTCTTTTGATTTTTTTTTGAGAAAGAAAGAGATTAACTGCCTGACTTAATGATCACGGTGAACCATCATCGGCTTTTTGGCTTGAAAAACATCTTCGACTTACTTGCTGCTGTCGTGGTGAAATTTGGATACCAAACTATTGATAAGTTTGAATCTTTAATTCATTTGCAACCGAACTTTGATTTGTCCAAAGGAAGGGATAAAGATCGAAATTCCCACAATGCAATGAAAATGCAAGCTAAAGAGTTATAGGTTCGGGGGTTGGTTAAACTTAGGGAAGGTGCTAGCATCCTAAGTTTCTACAGTACTCTACAGGAACCTTTTGTTTTATGTTTGTTTATTTGCTAAGGTTTATCTGCTTAAGGTTGAAAGACCTAATGGTTTATTTCTAAGTATACTTGATAAGATATCGCATCTTATGCCTACATATCCTTACGGGAGTGGAATCAGAGTATCTGTAGTTCCCCTAAAGGGTTTGAGGAGTTCTTTGACTGTGGCAAAGTTCCTACGGGTTTAGGGTAGTTGATTAATTGATTTTAGGAGAAAAGATGAGTTGCCATTTTAAGGGAGATTTAACCGCCACAAATTGTAGGAAAATAGTCTTTGCATCGTCTTAAGAGAATGACTCAAGTACTCGGATATTGATCGACTAGTACACCTCTATCTCTCTTAAGGCAAAGTCCCTACATATTGATTGTATTGATGTGGGGTGGAAGTTCTATCTCGCTTAAGATGATGGACATCTTATTCTCTGATAGTGTTTGAATAATGTTTGATTGAATTGTTTTCCTATGTTGTAAAGATAAAACAAAGGTCCTCCTATGGGGTAGGATCTATCTTAAAAGATCGACTTGAATGGGATCAAGGATCAAGGGGATATGATGCAAATGTAATGCATACGCGCAATTGTTTAGGCGCAGATTCTTCCTTTGGACGGAATGCAATGCGATAATATAAATTGCGAAAATGTAAAATTGTGGTAAATAAACGCAAATAAGTAAATCCATACACACGCATGAAAGCGCTAAGTGTGTGTAAGTGAGTGTGTGAACGGAAGCGGGATGTAAGCGTGCACGATTGGATTTTATGCGAGAGATTGATTAAGTTGTAGGATTGATTTTATATGAAATGATTAATTTAGTTGATGTTGAATTGATTTTAAGCGAGAAGTTGAGTTGATTTTATATGTGAGATTAATATAAATTAGATTTCTAACAGACAAGGTTTTAAAATGTTCTAATACTACATGAGTGATTTTTTATTTTATTATCTATCTCAAAAGATTAACTTAAATGAAATGATTTATTTGCATAAAATTATGGTTATTATTAAAAGTTAAATTACATTGATTATGAAATAAATAAAAAGGTTGTTTTTATTACTTGTTCCTAAAATACTAAATAGGTTTTATTATTAATTAGATAAATTGGCAATTAGATGTAAATTACAAAAGGTTTTTTTAGTGAATAAACATATTATTTAATTAAAATGTTATTAAGTTGATTTAAAAAAGTTAATTTAAATATAATTAGCAAAAGGATTTTAAATGTGAATTAGTAGGATTTAAAAAAAAAGAGTTTTTAGTTATTAAGATAAAAAGTTTATAAAGGTTGATTTAATTGAAATTTTTAAACAAAAGGTAAAACAAGTAACTTATTAAATAAGGTAAATTAATTAAAAGGTGAATTAATTAAATAATTAAATTAAAAAAGATGAAAGGAAAGCTGATTATGATTAATTACAAGGTTATTAGTTATTTTTAAAAAAAGATTAATTATAGTTATAATTAATTAAATAAAAAAAGATTAAATAAATGGCAGATTAATAGGTTGATTTAGGGTGATTAGGGTGGCTAATAATGGTTAATGAAGAATTAATCGCAAGATAATGAAGAGATTAGGGGAATCGCAGGGTTGTGTGCGTGTAGGTGCAGCGTATTATCGTGAGGGCGCGATTTGGAACGTGTGATCCGATTCGATCGTGGCGTGTGTGTCTGTGATGTGAGGGTGCATTATATTATAATGAGCATACACACATAGGATTACAACAGATAAACAAAATTGAAAATCAAACCCTAAACCCCCAATTTCTCTCCCCTTTCGCCGATTGTGCCTTCTTCTCCCTCTTCAATTTCGTTAATCCTCCTTTCTCGCCATTGCTCTTCTGCTTCGCTCAACAATTCCGTCTTCCCCTCGCTTCCGCCATTGCCCCTCCCGTCCTCTCTGCTTCCTTCCTTCTCCTCTATCGCTCTTCGAACCTTCCACCTTCATCTTCTCGCTCACCATCTCTCTCGATCGATTTCTCCTCTCTCTTATATATCAACCTGAAACAACAACAATGTTAACACAAAAAACTATTGACAATTTAAAAATGGTTTTTTACAGGTTTTTGAAGATGTCTCCTCGGCAATTATGATTGCGAAGGTGGTTCGCGTCTGATGATTGTGACAATGGCTTCTCCGGCGGCGAGTTCGCAGTGACGGTGATGATGCTACAGATAATCTCCTTCCCTTCTGCGTTTTGAGTATCTAGGTTTTTTTTTGAATCTTTGGGATTTCCGTGGAATTTGTGGATTGTGGTTGCGATTTTTTTTGTCAATCGATTTCTCTGTATTGTTGTCCTTCGTGTGATTTTCTGAACTGAACTGTTATGTTGTAGATTTTGTTCTGCAACTGTGTGTCTGTTGAAAAGGGCGTGGACGGAAAGGGAATTCACGGTAATGGTGCGAGGGTTCGTAGATGACCTCGCGACGGAATTTTTACAGGGTAAGCTTTCACTCTTCGATTTAGATACTCAGGGTTTTGTTTGGGGATTTTGATGAGGTTTCTGAGGATTGTTGTGGATGTTTCTACCTGTTGTGTCTTCTCTCCCTTTTTTTCCGTTCTATCTCTGAGCTTCTTTGCACTTTATATAGGTGAGCTGTAGGCCTCCAATGAACAAGGCTCTTAAAAACCTTCCTTATTGAGCGATTCCTGTCGGGAGCATGTTTGCTGAAATCGGGAAATCACTTCAAACTTTTCCAATTTCGCCTGATCTTGTCAAGAATATGCTTTTGGGAAGTTTGGAGACTAATTAAATTTGTTTTGATTTTGCAGGGACACTTGAGTGGTATCATTGCATGACTTTAAGCTACCTTGAACCTCATTGGAATTCTGATCGAATATTATTTTGCAGAAATAACCACAAAGTAGTGTAGCAGTACTTTCATCAATAGAATATTTCTTCTGTTGCATTGTTTGTTCGGAAGAATCGCCAGAGCTTAAGTGCCCAAAAGAGAAGGGATTTTAGGATAAAAATTGAATTCTTAACACTTCCTTGCTCTTCCCAACCTCCTGGATTTTGTGACACTACTCTCTGCTCTTGAAATTGCAGTACTGCAACCAAGGATGTTGTTGTTTCTATATGGTCCCAAACCTTCCGTTTTTGTCTTGCTCAATACGGTCTCTCTGAACATTTTGCCGAACTTGTTCTTATTATTATGTTCACATCTTAGTTGTTAATTCATTCTGATATATTGAATTATGAATTTGCAGGGATTTTCTTCGGTGGCAGCATATAAACCATGTCCATACCAACTTCACATATCAACTGTTGTGGCACCACAATCCAAAGTCATAGGTTTTCCCCAAATGCTTCTTGCCCTAATTCATGGTATCTGTCAAACCTTTTTCCAGGCACCATTTCATGCATCTCAACCATCTGCCATAGAGTGTGTAGAGCTATTAACCATGATAAGATCAGAATCACCACTCCTGGTCCCCATCCAAGACTTGCCATGGCAGGTGAAAGGCTCATGACACTAGCTCCAACCATAGCAGTGACATTATGAAAAGCAGCGTACCACCATTTAACGTTCCTTGAAGAAGTTATGGGAAGCCAATCATCAATATATTTTTTCTCAGCTGTTCTTTTATCTATCTCTGCGTCTGAGAATGAAACCTTTTCGGAAGCAATTGTTTTTTCATTTTCCATGTTTGTTGTGGCAGGATTTAGTTTGCGGTACGCAACGAAAGGAATTTGTATTGCAGCCGATTACACCATGTTGGAAAGCCATTCATGTAGATGAATCATCAACAGCAACTAGTGCTCTTATAGCCATTACCCGCAAGCTATATCGCATCATCGAAAGGGAGCTATGTTGGATTAACGCAGGCGGCAATTTGGTTCAGTAGGTAGCCACCATATGTTGCTACGGCAGGTAGCCTTGTATCTTCACCAAAATCTTATAGAGAGGGTAATGACTTTTGACTAGGCTAGTTAGTTTGTGAAAATTCTCACCAAACCATGTGCTTTGCAGGTGTGAAAGCTAAGGATTGGTAAAAGTATGGACTGAAGGTGGAATAATTAACCGCTTTGCTTTGACTAGATGACATCTTCATCGGTCCTTCCGGTAAAGCGAGAAGAAAACGAGTTCATGATCAATCCTTTGATTGGAGCTTCGGTTGCGTCCCAAATATTAACAATTGTATTTCTCATTTGTAGGTCGTCAAAGACAAAGTACCGTTACTGCTTTATTTTACGAGAAGGCGGATGCTACAAACAGGTCGAAGGAGTGAAAAAAAACAGCTCAAAGCTGGTTGTATCAGAACAACTCTATACCGAGGTGTTGTCTCGATCAAGAAGCTGTACTTGTCCTGGCGTGGAGGTCCAAAATGGCTGCAGTCAAGTTGTGACAATTTATAGTATTCTAGCGCCATGTCTTGTTTGCATGCCTTGTAATGACTTGTGTTAATTTAAAATATATGGAAACCTTTTTTGTTCTCACAGTAGCAGCAATGTAAAGTCTCGTGAGTCACTCGGTTGAATTCTTTGACTTACGTATGGCATCTTGTGTTTAGAAGAAATCTAACTCACAGACTAAGTTATAATCCCCCACAAATTATTGCTTGATTATGTACCCCCTTGCTTTTTTAAAAGACTAGAATTTCTTGTACGCCTTGTATGGGTGAAGTTTGTAACCAATGCTTTGTAAAATAGAAAGGATATCATGTAATGCAAACTTTGAATTTCAAATTCCACATGAGCTTTTGATTTAATAATCATAGTTATGATAATAAAACAAAGTCTCTTCACTTAAACGTAGCAGGTCTTTAATTGAATCACTCCAACTTTAATGATTATGTGACAAGATGTTAATTCCTATTTCACCGTTATATGGAATCCGGATTTTTAAAACTCCTGGTCTGCCTTGATAAACCTTGATTCTTTGGAGCCAGATTCACACCATTAAAAACCTTGATAACGAAGAAAATAGGTACATCCAAGGCGATGTAGCTCCGTAATATGTTGCCACAAAAACCGAGAACCTCCTCTTAAAGCCTAATCCTCTTTAAATTCGAACCAATAGGAAAATCTTTGTGTCTTTGAATCGAAAGTCCTTGATCATGCTTCAAGGTTCTTTTGATAGAGAAAATGAGTATCGACAGCACCTGAAATGGTTGTTCTGCACAAACTGGTTATTCGTAAAACACGCATGCAAAAGTATAAAGGTAAAGGGGCAAAAAACAAGAGGTGAAATCTCAAGGTCAAAAATTAGGGTGCAACAGATGTCCCTATTTAAGTTTCTTCTATCCGGAGATATGGAGATTGAAATCTTCGTCTCGACAAGATAGGAGGGACTTAAATAAAACATTGCACGATTTTTTGGCCCTAAGAAGCCACCGAATGCATATGATATGAGATGATATGAAAATGCAAGACAAACGGTCCTGTGAGGAAAAGATGTCACAGGGGAGAAACTGGACACGACACGTGAAGAGCAGGCTCAACAAAGTGAGACTCCACGGGGAAAGATTGATAATCACAAAGTGTCTGTAAATGTGTTGGCGAGCACTTGCGAGAAAAACCACTTGAAGAACCTGCTGGATAGGTCGAAAGTAATTGATTCAAGATATCAGCTGGAGAAGTCTACTGTCGAGACTTGTAACTTTTATTGAGAATACTTTCGCCAAAGTGTATACTGTTAAAATTTAAGGAATCTGCTGCCGAGATTCTATGTCGAAGCTTGTTGGGGATATACTTCTGACGAAGTCTTCTGGAAATCTACTGTCGGGATTAGCCAGGAAACAAACGAGATACCTACTTCCGAGGTCTTCTGGAAATCTACTGCCAAGATTAACCAGGAAATAAACGAGATACCTACTGCCGAGGTCTTCTGGAAATCTACTGCCGAGATTTACCAGGAAAAGAGATGTCTTTGAATGACTGTTGAAAGGATGATAAACCTCCTCGAGCGTCATGGTCTGGATGCCATGAGCTGGTCTCAGTCTCTTGAAATAACTTCCCCACGCCTCATGGTGTGTTTGCCTTGAACGGGTCTCAGTTTCTTGTAATAACTTCCCCACGCCTCATGGTGTGTTTGCCATGAACGGGTCTCAGTTTCTTGTAATAACTTCCCCACGCCTCATGGTGTGTTTGCCATGAACAGGTCTCAGTTTCTTGTAATAACTTCCCCATGCCTCATGGTGTGTTTGCCATGAACGGGTCTCAGTTTCTTGTTTGGATTTGAAAAGAGTTGAAATAAACCTCCCCGAGCATCATGGTCTGGATGCCATGAGCTGGTCTCAGTTTCTGCCTGAAATGATGAAAACTCGTGAGAGCATCTTCACAGGGGATAAAATTATCATTGTAGTTTGTAAATGTTGTTGTAGATTTTTCGGCTGTAAGCCATAATGTACTGAAGGTTGCAAAACTTCACCAGGGATCTTCATGAGAGATGCGAGCCGGTTGAATTGTAAAGTATGTCTTTTCAAATAAAGAGAGACTAATGTGATAAACTTCCTCAACTTCTCTGGGGAGATGTCGCTCGATGGGAATAAACTTGTGTGATGAACTCGCTGGAGAATACATTCCTGAGGATACTTAGCTGTTGTAAAATGTGTGAATTCTCAAATAAAGAGAAATATCTGTAAGGTTTTCCATTTACCAAGTCGATAATCACTGGGGATGGCCAAACCGTCTTGAGGAGACTGTCACTTGTCGTTTTGAACAAGATCTTGGTCAAAACGAGTTGCTCAAATAAGAGGTTGCTTACAATCTGGATGCAAATCGTCGAGGAAATCTGATAATATTGTTGGAGAAGTGTCTGTCTTCATGAATATCTTCACAAAGGTTCTCTTGGGGAACCGAGTGCAAAATAAATGCACATTCAACCATATTCAAAAGGTGGAGATGTCCATAATGTGATTGCCAAGGACCAAAGTTCAATTTAGGAAATAACTGAAGAGAAACTGTCAAGCAAGACTCGACCATTGGGGTATGAACTCAGATGGGATTTTAACTAAAACAACCGTCTTCCACGAGGATCGAACTCTGTGGGGAAATAGAAGTATGGCGCTTTTTCTGCCTAGGACTGACAACTCTAATTAGAAGGAGAACACGCGCCCAACTACTCGGGGATAACCACGACCAAAAGGACAGAACAAACCAACGCAAAGAATGCAAAATGCACATGCCATGCCATCTATCTATATGCTATGCGTATGCTTATACTGACAAACAAACAACAAAAGGCAATCGGAGATGAAATAAACATCTCGAAGCAAACATCCGACCAATCTTCAAAGATAGAAGTACTACTGGGGATAGGTGGAGAACCGAATACGGGATCACAATCCTGCTTCAGGGCTTCAAAAACTTCTCTTGGGGAATGGAGAACGTTCCACTTGGGGATAAAACATCTTGATCTCCCTTGAAGAATTCATCAGGATGAATCATAGCTGTTGAATATGTTGAAGTTGAAACTTCATGGGGAATGAAATAAACATCCGCTCTGTTGGGGAAGACTGGCGTTGTAAAAGATCCACTGAGGAGTAAAATACGTCCACTTCACTAGGAAGGTGAAGTTGGAGAAGATCCACTGAGGATTAACATATCATATCCACTTCACCGGGGAAGTGAAGTTTAAACGAATCACTGGGAATTATTACATTGGGAAGCTTCATCAGAGAAATGTCATGACCACCTGGAGTAAAACATCGGGGACATGAATGAAGAATTGTTGTAAGAAGGAAGTAGTTCTGCATTGATGAACTGCGTAATGGTAGTCGCCATTTTGAACAAGACAAGATAATATTTTTTTCTCAGATGCCCCAAGTCATATGGTAATGAGAAGAAGTCGTTCTGAGAGGATTTTACAGAAAACATGACGTCCAACATGCCCCATTATTTTCAAACTCTTAGAGAGATTTGCCGAATCTCGACGTAACTGGCCCTGATTGATGGTATTATAACTGAGTCTTCAGAAATAGCTCTTTAGGCAAAATCAAAGTTGCACAGAACAAACCATTTGGAAATAACTTGCCCCAGGTCAGCAGAGTCTTCAAATTTTAATTGGTGATGTCTTCACATAATCTTTCTAAGATATCAAGCAAACTTAGCAAGTCAGAAATGTTAATTTCGAAATTGTTAATGCAACATACGTTTGTCTTGAAGCTTTGAAAAAGATATCACGATAACCGGTGACCAAAATCACTAGTTAGGGTATAGATTTATTTTATAAAGCCAATCATCAAATTGAGCATAGCTCATAGGAGTGAGGAAACGTTATCTCACTGAGTATGCTTTCAAATTAAATCTTACTTCAATTAGGACTTTTAAGGTTGTATCAGTTTAGTTTACGATTTGTAAAACAAAGGTATAAGGGTCAAAGTATATTTGTACCCATCCATTTTTGAAAGATGTTCACTTTTTTGAAAGGTTTTAAGTGTTCAATCAAGCTGATTGAAAATTTCCCCAAGCTAAAAATGAGGTTGAAAAATGGTTAAAGAGAAATTAACCACTTTATATCTAGTGTTCAGGAGGTTTGAAATCATGCCTTACATCATCAGTAGGGTTTTTATTCAAAAGCATACATCAAGAGATCATACGTTTTACTTCGTCATCCTCCTTCCAATTATTCACCAAAGTGAGAAAAAAAATTGGGTAAATTTGGCATTATAAATAATGAAGAAATAATTCTTTTACGAGTGAAA